CAAGTATGGTGACTATTTTAATTGTCCAAAAACCTGTCTCGTATGTAATAAAGAGCATAAAAGAGATGATGTAAAAGGTGAGTGGGGGAGTGGTGATTATGTCAATACAAAAACATATTATCTTACATGTTGGGGGAATAAATTCAGAATTCAATTCAAATAGTAACTGTAAAAGTATAAGTTAATAAGAAAGCTCTATTATTTTCACCAATTAATAATCGCAAATTGCATTGTAAAAATCATGTAAAAATAAAAAATTGGGTGCTCAGCAGACCCTCTCTTCTTTATTTAATAAAAATTGTTGCTGAAACAACAATAATACAAATAAAAAAAATGTCACTTTATATTGTGTAAATACAAATAAAAAAAAATAACTCATTGGTCCTTACCATTACGGATTTACAATAAAAACTGTCCTTTCAAATTTTTTAGATTCAAAATTTTTAGCAAACCTCCCTCCCAGTTGTATATATCGAATACTAACAATACGATTGACAGTAATATTTAAGTCCTTCTTAATTTTGCTTTTAACATTTTCGAACAAGTTCCCCTACTTAATTTCCACCATGTTTGTAGCAATTGGACCGAAACTAACTCTAAACTTTGGTTTAAAATTATCAGAAACTTTAGTAGCTATTTTTTCATTTCCTAAACATAAAAATTTATAATGAGTAGTTTCACTTTCATAGTCATCTTTGTAAACAATTGTAGATTGAAACCCTCTGAATAAAACAAATACATATATTAGAAATAAATTTTATAGAGATAATAGTTGGACTCTAGGCCTGCCTCAAAAGGCTATAACTATATCTGAGAAGACTATTCTATAAAGGATAGATCGTGTATTTTTTGCAGACCAAATAATCACTTTTACCTAAGTACTGGGCTATCTAAGGTAATTATGAGCCTGTTAAGTTTTACAATATTGCATAGTCAAAGGCCCTATCACTCAATTTTAAAGACTTGCTTAACTAAGCATACTCGTATGAATAGCTCTAGCAATCATCTTATTAATGCAAAAACTATCTAACAAAAAAAAGAGAAATTGGGCAGAATATTAGCGGAGCTAGTGCCAAAGATACTAAAAATCTATTTTATATATACTGCATATGGCTATGCCCACACTGCATATCGATATATATTTGGCACTACAGAAATTTAACATGAAATCGCTATATTTGGTATAATAATTCGTCAGTGCTTTCTGATTTACAATAACAGTAAAAAATTGCACAATGAATCTTATTAACCATCTATTAACAGCACTTCAGATGCAGAGCATCCTCTTTTCAAGAGACAGTGGCTTAGCGATTTTATATAGATTTGTTATAAAAAAGCTAACAACACTTTTAACAATAGTTTAATAGCGGTTATCTAAAATATATTAACATGTATTCAGTAAGTAGTAATTTAATTTCATAGCTCTTAGATCATTTTGAATTTATTATATCATACTGGCATAGAACTTAACAGTTCCATAGATTCACTTATCTGTTTAAGCAGGTAGTCACTTGGTATTCAGGTTTATCAGTTCGAATGTACAATAAAACCTTGACCGGCTTTAATAATCAATGGCCTGCATTAAATTTTATGCAGTGCTACCTTAATACATAATTACTTTTCCAATGTTAATTTTTTAACTATTAATTTTACGAATAACTATATATGATCCTGTGATAAGAAAATGCATGAATAGGACTCTGCAAAGCAGAACACTTTGTGTCTAAAAAGGCTATAAGGGTAATACATAATGTTCTTAATCAGTAGTTTTATCAAAATTCATATGTTATAGAGATTTGAAATTTCCCAGATTATCAAGATCGTTGACTTTTTTACTTCACAGGAGAGATTATTGAATCTAAGGGGGTTAATTTTACCAGAAAAAATAACAAAATAGATTTAGCATCTAGAACTTATAACCAAGCGGAATTGCTTTGTTAAGTGTGATCTGGTAGTGCTAGAGTAACATGATTAATAATATAACTTTTTTTCTGGCAGGCTTTTTAGAACTAGTGAATAAATAGTATAAAATAAGCAGGTTTCCACCCATAAGATAAGTTAGCAATAACATTATTTTTTGCTTATATTTTTTTTATCGTAAAAGTCTTACACACTCACAATT